TTTTAGCATTAAGATGAACGGAATACGAAATCTGCTGAGCATGGCCAAACATTTCACCTGGTCCGAACTACAGACTAGAGATTCAAACACTGGTTCGCTCACCATGGCGGGATGGATCCAACGCATCCAACCTATGATGTGGCGACTGAACTTTTGTGACTGGGGAACACACCTTCTCTACTTCATCCTTAGAGGCGTTGCAGGCAATGGCAAGCCATTTTTCTTCAACTCGTGGTTCCCACTTGATACAGATGACATCGCATCTTACACACTGGTTATCATCATGCAGGTAACATATGACATATTTCTATGTGGAGTTGGGTGGATTTCTTTCGCAACGTAAGGGGCTTGCACGGTGCAACGTCTCTAGAATTTGACTGCAGCTATAGTGAGATTTTCAGGACATGTAGCATGCATGAAAAGCATAAGAAATGCATACAGAATTACAGCCGGAATATAGGAAAAGACAGCTATGGAAACACATACGTAGATGGCACGGAAGTATAGTAAAGTAGACATTAAACGTGCATGATATGCGGATGTAGACTTCTTCACGCTGGTAACGTATAAAATCGTTTCTGTATCTGTGATCGGGTGGATTCCATTCATGATGAAAAAGTCTCTTGCGATAAAATGCCTCTACAAATACGTATAACTGTAATTATAACGAGGATTACATGATATAAGTACCAAGAAACCTGGCTAAAGCTGTAGTGCTTCTAATTGTATTTGAGAAGTAACCGCGATCCTGAATAGCGCAGCCGGTATAGCTACTGATTACGGACTGAACGACAAAGGAGTCGGAATTCGAGACCCAGTGGGGGATAAAATTTTCACTACTCCATGTTATCCAGACCGGCTCTGGGGCCCAACCGGCCTCCTATCCAAAGGGTACCGGGTGCTCTTTCCCCGGGGGTAAAGCGGCCGGAGTGTGAAGCTGACCACTCACCTTCAACCAATCCAGAGGTCAAGAAAATATGGTTCTACACATTCACTTTCGAATTCACCTTCATGGTGCAGTGCTTAATTAGTTAAGCGAAGAGACAACTTAACTTTTTACCGAATCAAACCTCGGCCAGATGAGCAGCTGTCCTAACTGAGGTTTCGTTTGTGGCGTTCCTGCGCCCCTTCAGATTAATGAAGGGACAGCGCGTAATCTGTAACATGAACGCTGACTCCCATATCAATCCCAATCTATTTTTCTCCATCATCCTATCATTTGACGCCTTGCAGCCTGAGTTATTGACAGACTCGTTAATGAACTACAAAGAAATAAAGTCAGAGCACGTATGGAAGAAATGAGAATTGCACAGAGAAAACTTGCAGGGGCGAGAACACTTTGGGGATGTACACGTGTAGGTGGTATGATATTACTGGAGTATTCTTTGAAGCAATATTGTGTAAGATAGTAGACGTCTTCATCATACAGTTGTTTTCGCCATGAGAGACTTTAATTTAAGTTTCAGCAAAATGGTTGCATCAGATTGACGAAGAAGAAAACGAAACTTGAAGGGTTTTAGTACAAACAAGAAATACCATACTTAAATTGAAATCAATGGTGTCTTTGTGGATGGATGAACATAATATTCCTATTAATATTCGCATTTATACATTAAATGAATAGTGCGCAATAAACTCTAAACCAAATTTTCCAGTCGTATCATATATTTTAAAAGCCTGGGTCGAGGTACACAGTGTTACAGTCTCCGTGCAGCGTGACGCTAGGCAACATACTATTTGCAGTGAGTGTCTATGCGTGATATTAGTGTAGTGTTTAATGTTACTTTCTTTGTAACCATTTGATGAAAACTTAATGTATTCACAAATGAGTAATAATACAATAAGCCCAAAAGATTCATTTGTTGACTTAGAAATAACAGAGACTGAATTGACTAAAGTAGTCCACAGCATAGTAAGAGAGTACATAAGCTATTCATAGGCTTCAAGAAAGCCTAGGTTTCAGTTAGGAGGGAAGTATTGTAAAATATTCTGATAGAGTTTGGAGTACTCATGAAACTGGTTAGGCTGATTAAAATGTGTTTAAATGAAACGTACAAGTATATGGGCTACGCTGTAATAGCCATTGGACAACGCTGCGCTTTTCATTATGCTATTTGCTTTGACTAATCTGTATGTAGCACAAGTTTATATGTGCTGTGTTTTACAGGCTCTGGGTAGTGTCATGATTGGCACCACACTATTCGCAGTAATGGGTTTGTATGTGACACTAGTGTCTGTTGGTTGCACCCAGCTGGAGAAGATTCAAGCAGCACTGTTGGACATTAAACAGCATGAACCGTCTGAGATGAACACACGCCTCGCGGAATGTGTGACACATCATCAGTATGTCCTCAGGTTAGTTAGCGTGCCATTATATTGCCACATGTAGGGGGGTACGCCTGACTAATAATTGCGGATTCTAGATTTTATGATTTTATGTATTTACGTCCCTCTCACAATTGCACTCGGTTATAACAGTTCACATGTTGAACCCTTTCTTGAGAACTAATCCCTCATTGTTCTCACTGTCTTCTCTGTCTGATTGGTTCTCGAACTTCAGCTACTCTGTTCTGTATTGAACTGTCGGATTCTGTATTCACTCTCCTTGGCTGTAGCTTCCGGAACTCTCCTCAGCTCACAGCTTCTATCACAGTCTTCTATCCTCTGTTATCTTCGGTGGTCGGATGGCGTAGAAGACACCTTCTTGAAGGGTTCTGTTTCGCTTTTCTGATGTGACGGCATCCAGCATACTGGCCACGTCCGCGTTGTCCCAAGAACGTGCTTTTATTACCAAGCAATATTCTGATTCAATCTCTAGCCCATTGATTGCCGTGGGAACAACGCTCATTGAGACATTGCCCGTCAATGGACATCTCTGTTATTTTCCCGACTTCGATATTCCGGCTTTTAGGCGACAGGTCACAATATCTTTGATGTGTTGTTGTAGTTCGTCCTCTGCAATTTACGGTTTCTAATTAAGTACTACTTGTTGCACAATTCTGAATAAAAATTTATGCAGTTTTCCTCCATCCTCGGAGAAGTGCATCGATTTTAGGCTAAAACAAGTCCCGACTTCTTCTTTTCACATTATTCTCAATTCATAGTTCTAAATAATTCTTTCGGTCATCATACGTCGATGTATAAATATTGGCCGTTTTCTCGTTGTTCTTAAATAAGAAATAAACGCGCTAATGCTGAACAAATTCATCGTCTGGGATGAAACACTCTGTAGTCCAATAAAAGTTAACTGACGTTTTGGGGGATTATATCGTCTTCATCTGTAAGCAAGGAACAAGGACACCGCATGTTAAGATTTGAGGTATTCCAATGACAGTGAAGAATGCAGTCTTCTGGGATGTGGTTCCATGTAGATCCTATGTGTCTGCAGCCACCTGCTCACGCTGGATCCTCGCTCGCGGATTTTTATACCCTGAAGATGGAGGCGATATGTTACTCCGAAACGTTGGCTCACATCCCAGAAGAGGGCATTCTTCAAGGATACCGTACTTTTCTACACTCGGTTCCCTCTAAATGTCGCCTGTTTCTTGCTGGTTTCATATTTCGATTACTGCTTGACCCTGAATATGGAGGCGATATGTTCCTTCGAACTACGGATACCTTCTACCGAAATATAGGATGTTACAGTCTTGAAAATTGGACTCTTCTTAGTCCATGCAGTTAAAGCTTCAATCCCAACACGCTAATGCTCTTTCATTGAATCAGACGTCATAGAATCTTGCCTTCTTTTACAGATTAACAGCTTTGTTCTGTTCCATCCATCTATCTATCTATGGCTCTATAACCCTTTGTTGGATCTTGGCCGCTTTTTCAGTTTTGTGATCTTTTTACACAGTCGGTAGGATTCTTGGAACGGGGATCAGCACGTCGTAAAGCCTCTAACTATATACAGAACAACACAAACACAGAATAAAAGAATACAGACATCCATGCCTCTAGTGGGATTCGAATTGATGATACCAGCGTTCGAGCTAGCGAAGGCAGTTCATGCCTCAGACCGCGCGACCACTGTGATCTGCTTGTTCTGCTCCACCTCACAGATAATGTTGACAATCTTATGATCGTGGCATGAATCACTGAATATGTGCTCATACCGTCATACATTTCCCCTAACCACAAGACAATAGAATACAACAAAACGAGGATAAATATATATGTCACTAGCGGGATTCCAATTCCCATCCAAATGGTTACGTGTACGGATAACCACCATAAGTGTTTTTAAATGCATAAATATCAAAGGCAAGGCCTGATTATGATGAATATTTGATTGTTTATGCATGCTGAGGCCGATCACAGTGGCCGCGCTGTCTAAAGTATGAACTGTCTTAGCTCGCTCTAACACTGTGATCGTGGGTTCAAGTCCCACTCGAGGCATAGATATCTGTATGACTTTATTCTGTATTTGTGCTGTCCTATGTGTGTAGGTAGCGGCCTTGCGACTGGCTTATCTCCTGTCACAGTAGTCCTACCGACTGTGTGAAAGATCAAGAAAGTGAAAAGCGGCCAAGACCAAACAAAGGGCCGTAGAGCCATAGGTAGGTAGGTAGGTAGGTAGGTAGATAGGTAGGTAGGTGGGTGGGTAGGTGGGTGGGTAGATAGATAGATAGATAGATAGATAGATAGATAGATAGATAGATAGATAGATGTTTAGTTGAGAATGCCATATAAGGGAACTTCGTATAAGTTGGTATCTCGGTGCCGTTGCCTTCCCGATGTTGCAGAGAATAACGAAGTATTGCCGTTTATTTCTTAGCCAGAACTTGCATAATGTAGGCCTATCGCTGGAAGCGGTTGGGGCCCGCTCTTGCAAAATAATTTACTATTTCGCCCTTCTCTTAATTCCGTTGTACTACTTTCCCGTCGTACAGCATTAGCTAAAATTGAAATTTTACCAACCACTCAGAACATATATGGAGCAATGAACTCTGTTTGAGCAGAGCTCCCAAGGGACTCGGACCCCGAGAAAGACTGCGCTGGCAAGAGCCAGCAGCATATACAAAAGACAGACCCGTCCTCTCATCAGAGAGGGCGCCCCACAGAAACAAGACTGTAACTGTCAAACGGTAATAATTAATATCTGGTCATGAGATCAAGATGGGGCTCGACACCAAGACTTACTGACTGACTGACCGTCAGTCGCAATGTGACTTTGACCATTCAGAACGAGCTCCGAGAATTACTTACTAGTAGCGAAGTATGGGATCTTTCTTAATTTTTCCCACATTATGTTACAACCCACATCTTCCATTTTTCCCATGTCTAGAGTTCACTGATTTATTTATGATCTGAAGCTTTTACGGTGGCTAAAACCGCTAAGTTATTCTCGGGATATAAGCCATGTCAATTGGTTAAATATTACCAACGTTTCAGAGGCCATCTGCTCCCCCTAGTCAAGGTCTGATGATGGTCAGAGATGGGCCCTGATACGTCAGAAATTTCTAACCAAATGGCACGACTGAAAACCTGAGATTTTATCAACTTCACTGATTTTAATTAATTTTACATATCATTTGACCTAAGATCTTAATTGAACTTGAACTTAACTGAACAACTTTCATAAAACCCTACATGGACTATTTCTGTTAAATCACGTTCAAGTTTATTTTATTCTAAACCTTTCAGAGGCCAAGATTACGTAGCTGCTTCAGTAGAATTTCGACATATCTCACCAAATGTTCACCTGAAAGAGCCTACATGGGCCAAAAGATACACGTTACGTCTTATGCACTAACTGATTAAAGTAAGTCCTTTCAAGAAAGTCAGTAGTAAACAAGATGAGATTATTGTTTACCACAGGTACACAATTAAAACTTTGTAATTTACTTCCAAGGAAAAGTAATAAATTTATTTTCTCCAAAAAGTTCTAATCGTAACTGCTTGGCGGTTTCTGTATAAAAGCATAAAAAGAAAGTTACCTATTTGTTGGCTATTGGAATATTATCACTTCAGACGTGTGAAGTTGGTACCGTTCTTACAATAGGTATATGAAGGAGCTGGAGAAAACCTTCAGCCCAGTGTTGTTTGGACCGTTCCTGTTGGTAGTAGCAGCACTGTGCTTCACGGCCTACACAGCCATAACAGTAAGTAATACTGCACATTTGTGGAGTCCGTTATCTTCATCAATTTGCGTGTGTGTGTGTGTGTGTGTGGGGGGGGTGAAATATATACTGAAATAAATCGAAATTAGCTTTTGGGAGTTTAAGAGGAACAGAGTCCTTCAGCTTACTGAAGAGATACACGTGTTCAAATACCGACACCAGCATTACATAAAAATATTGCACGAATTTCACAGCACAGTGTCAGTCACATGTCATTTGAATTCTGCCATGCGTTGGTAGTATCTAATTTGATACAATAAACAACCGAAATGTCGTCCATGGGTAACAATACTTGCAGTGTATAAGTGATCAGCTTCACGCCTTTGCCGCTTTACCCCCGGTACCCATTTGATAGGAGGCTGGATGGACACCAGAGTCATACGGACGAGGTGGAGAAGAGAAAACTCTTGACTCTACCCAGACTCGAACTTCGACCCTTCGGTCATCCAGCCCGTAGCCAGTCGCTATACCGACATCACTATCTCGGCTTGTAATTCTATTGTATGTTAATTATATAATGTAAGGAGTTTGTGGTTGACTTGAAAGGATTCTGACGATGGTGTATACTGTACTTCTTTTGGCTTGGTTTGGACTTCATCCATCGTCTGGTACGTAAAAGACAAAAAAAAAAAACGACGTTTCGGAGACTGGATCTGTCTCCGCCTTCAGGTGGGTAGGGAAGGTTAAACCTACTCAGT